TTTATGTGAACATGATGTAATGGTGTCGGTACATAGGCCATCCCAATCCTTGTACTATTGTAATTGCATTGCAGGATGTACCAGCATTAAATGACAGGAGGTTGGAAAGGATGAATTATTGGGAACCACCAGTGTCCCTCAGTAGCCTCACTGGCTTCTCATCCTCAGGAAGTCCTGTTAGGGAGACAAAACCATCAAAAATAAAGGGCTTAAAACACTCATCAGGTTCCCTCCAGTTTGATAGATGTGGGGAGGATTTCAGTCTTGACTAGGCCAACCCCTTTTCCTGGTTTTGGTAATTGAGGCCCCTGCTTATGTTTCAGGGCCAAACAGTCAGAATCGATATGTCCCACTTTGTGACAATAAAATCATTGCCTCCCTGACTTAGAAGTTGAAGTGCTCTTGACCTGAGACTGTGACTTCTCTTTCCAAGTATTGTCATGAGAGGATGGTTCAGATTTGCTCACAAAAACATTTTTGTGAGTAAGAGCAAATTTTTCTGCCAGGACAGCTGCATCTTGCAAAGTGATAACTTTTTGCTCATTCAGGTACAAAACTGTACAATCTGGAAGACAGTTGTTGAGCTCTTCCAACAATACCAATTCACGTAGTGAATTAAAATCAGTAGCTTTGGTTGCCTGGCACCATCTGTCAAATAGCTTTCCCCTTTCCCTTCCAAATTCAACAAATTTTTGTGCAGTGGATTTCCCTAGGGCTCTAAAATGTTGCCTATATGCCTCGGGCACCAACTCGTATGCCCTGAGTATGGCAGATTTAACTTTGTCATACACAAGACTGTCTTCAATTGTAAGCACTGCACATATGTCCTGTGCCTTACCATCCAGTTTGCACTGCAGTAAAAGAGAGCAGACCTCTGTGGGCCAGTGCAGGGCAAAAGCAATACGCTCAAATGCATTAAAATATGCCTCCACCTCAGTCTCTCGGAATGGTGGGATATTACAATATTTTTACTTATATCAAATGTAGAAGGTGCTGGAGAAGAGGATGGTTTTTCTGACAAATTACTGACATTATCTACATCTCTAGTAGAAGTTGGCGTAGTTGGCGTAGCATTTTAACGGCAGTTTCAACTTCTATTTGCCAACATTTAAGCTTAAACTCAATTACATCCTTGCATTCCCTTTCTCTGGCTTCCAGTTCAAGATGAGCCAGCTGCACCTTTAAACGGGCACCAACAATGGGATTCGTGGACTCAATAGAAAAAAGCTCAAAACGCGAGGTGGTTTACCCCCCTCTGGTTTTGCAACAGCAGGTGTCCTTGTTCTATCCTCAGCACAAACTTCAGGCTGATCATCTGGTTCAGAAGATAAGGTAGCATCCTCTTTATCTGCTTCCAATGAGAATACTTCACTTTCAACCAAGCTACTAAAGACAAGAGATTTTAACAACAAAGTCCATGCTCAATAATCCAGGTATACAATCCAACATTTTTCAGTCAGGTCATCTGGACAGTTTCTTTTTTTTTTTTTTGTGCTGAAATGTTTCGCCTTTGATCCGGAAGGCTTCATCAGTCAAGGAAACACACAACAAAACTGATTCTTCCCCCAACAGCTTACTCCAAAGTGGAACAAACCAGTTTTGTTTGTGATAAGATGGTCTCTTTGGTACGCCCCCTCCTCCATTGCCGGTCTTCTTCCTTGTTGACAGTCGCGTCAAAATGGTTGAAAACAACAATGTCCATGCTTAATCCTGGATTGTTGTCCTGGATTATTGAGCATTCAACATACATTCCTACCCTCACGTATGGTCATGAACTCTGGGTAGTGGCTGAAAGAATGAGATCATGGATACAGGAGGTTGAAATGAGTTTCCTCCGCAGGGTAGCTGGACTCTCCCTTAGAGATAGGGTGAGAAGTTCATTTGTCCGGGAGAGACTCCAAGTAGAACCGCTGCTCCTCCACATCAAGAGGAGTGTGTTGAGGTGGTTCAGACATCTGGTAAGGATGCCCCCTGGGCACCTCCCTAAGGAGGTGCTTCAGGCGTGTCCGACTGGGAGAGGAGACCCTGGGGAAGACCCAGGACACACTGGAGAGACTACGTCTCTCAGTTGGCCTGGGAACACCTTGGACTCCTCCCAAAAGAGCTGGAAGAGGTGGCTGTGGAAAGAGATGTCTGGACCTCCCTGCTCAAGATGCTGACCCCGCAACCCGATTTCAGAATAAGTGGAAGATGATTGATGGATGGATGGAAGGATGGATGGATGGATGGAAGGATGGATGGATGGATGGATGGATGGATGGATGGATGGATGGATGGATGGATGGATGGATGGATGGATGGATGGATGGATGGATGGATGGATGGATGGTCGTGATCTAAAGTGGGCCAGTCTGAGGTGTGAAACTCCAAGTCTGAAAAGGAGTCCCACTGATACCACATACTCAACTGTATGAAAGTAACTTCAGGTAAATCCATAAATGCAGATTTTTTTAAGGCAAATCCAAATTTATGTAATTAAGAAAACTACCTGAAATGTTTTTGTGAGTCTCTTAATTTAGTTAAAAATAAATCTGCTCAAGAACTTTATACTTTAATAACTTGGATTTGATGTAAGCCTCTTCACTTGTTACTTGTTATATGTTTTTTGTATTATTTTATATATTTTTGTATGCATACAACTCAACTTGTGAAATTCAATTGTTACTTTGTATTACAATGTTTGCCTTGGTTTGTTTGTAAATTGATGTTCTTAATTAAAGAAATGCTGGTATATCCTCCATTTTCTGTCATAATTACATTGCATGCTAAATGGTTAAATTAAAGGTTAATGTTTAAAGCTAGATGTGCTTTGTTTTGTGTGTTTTATATGTTGTAACTTCTGGTTGCATGAGTTTAATCTTTGTTAAAACTAAACTGATTTTGTACAACGTGTTTAAAAGGTTGTGTAATGCAAAATTTACACTATTACATATTGAATTTCACTGTGAGTTCTTGCCCTGTGCTGATCTGCAGCATGAAAACATCCATTGCAGTAACTATTTAAAGCTTAGGTTTTATTTATATATATATATATATATATATATATATATATATATATATATATAT